GGGGGGGGGGGGGGGGGGGAGAGTAACCTACGGCACAGTGTATGTCCACGCACGAGTCCTCCTCGCGAAAGGACGCGCCGATTGAACGAGTGCAAGATAGACTGAGGAGAGGGGAGGAAAAAAAGAGAGTGAGAGAGAAAGAAAAAAGAAAGGTAAAAGTAAGCCTACTTGAAGTTTCGGCGTAATCCATTGTGTTTCTAGGCTGCCACCGTCGCCGCCGCCGCAGTCGTCGCCGTCGCCGGCGACGGGCACATAGATACCTGCTCTCCCGCGCACGGGGAGTAATCCGGGCGCGACCGACACGATTGTACTTGGAGACTACGGAATCGACTCTAGGCGAGCATTCGTTGCGGGTATACCCGCGTGTTATCTAGGTCAAGGTTCGCTTAGTCGCGGTGACGCGAGGAAACGAGCTGCTATCCAACGGGAGCAAGAGCGACGACGCGTCGTCGCCGTCGTCGTCACCGTTGTCACCGTCGTCGTCGTCGTCGTCGTCGTCGTCGTTGTCGTCGTCGTCGTCGTCGTCGTCGTCGTCTCTGTTGCGCGACGAATCACGCGACAAGTGTACGCGCGTGCCGGTTTAATCGACAACGTCGCGGTTCTTCGCTGGAGCACTTTACTTACCGGCCATCTCGCACACGAAGAACAATATAACACGCAAGCGGAAGAACACGTTTGCACGCGAGCCTATTCCCGGGTGAGGGGGCCCAAGCGACGAGAGAGCGTACGCTCTTCGGGCAAAAGGATACACGCGCGCGCGTGTGCCGCGACACGCCACGCCGGCGACGAGGAACAAGAGACGAGGAGACGCGCTCGCCGGGAGGATACGCGAGATTCGTGCTACTTGGCTGCTCGGTTTCGATCCTCCGTCACATATTTCCGCCGTTTTGTTCGTGTCACCAAACCGCTCTCCGCGACGTACGCGACTCTCAATGGCGGAGTTCACAGACGCATAACCGCACAACACGACCACGGTGTGACGTCACTGTGCGCACAACTAGCTTTCGTTACCTACGAAATGACCACCATCTTGCACGCGGTGCAGGTACGGCGGTGCGCGAGTGCGCGTACGCATACGATCGCGCACGAAGACGGCCGAGAGTGTGGCGCTCGCCTGACGCGCCAAATTCAAGCATGTCCGCCGCGATTATATATAACGCGCGTTTTATAACACACCAACGTCATATATGTATGATAGTAACTTTCTCTATGTGTTCACATATATTATTAAGTTTGTTTTATAAAATTACGTAAATAGAAAAATTACACACACACACAACACACACACACACATGTATATACACGCTCATGCGTATGTATATATACATATACAGGGTGTCCCGAAGTCCCATGATGACCCTTGGTGAGAACGTAGAACGGATTGAGGTGAGCAAGAAAGTCCTGTGCCGTTTTGCGATATTCGCAATAGTTTTTGAGAAATTAATTATTTTGTCTCAACAAATCAGCGTACAGAAAGCGGCAGCGGAAAGAAAGATGCCTTCGGCCGACGTGCGACCGTGACACTC